AACATTCTTTTTTTTCGAACTTAAATAACTGATACTGATTTAACTTAGCTTACTGTTCTGTGGCCGTGCCAGTCGAGCTGAAGTAGTTAGTGGGCCTAAATGAGCATTACTTATGACGCACAGCAGTGCGATGCGGAGTGATACGTTAAACAAGCTAGTCCCAAATGCAAGGTCCACTTAAAACACTCGCTAACGTTTGACTAGTGACGTGGTCTATACCAGGGGTCGGCGAAGTGTCAACAAAAATCATTTTACTATCCTGGCTGTAATATGTCTCAGTGTGTGCTAATGTGCTAGTATAGGCTAAAAGTATATAAACGAAAGACTTACTTTGCTCTGCTTTAACCTTTAGCTCAGCTATAGCTTTAGTTTAGTTTCAGTTATAGCCGTGTGTTTCGCATCTCCACCACGAAACTTTGCCGAAAAGTAAAATAATCTTGTAAAAAAGTAAAGTAATTCTTGTAAAAGGTCTCTCAAAGTTCGTTTTTTACGAGGCTGAAGTCGCTTCTTGTTCGCCAGCTTCTTGTTCGAATTTACCCGTTCCACCTTAAATGGCGCCTGAGGTGCCAGAATGTAACTGCTGCAGCATTTAAGGTGGAACGGGTAAATTCGAAAAACAAGCTGGCGAACGAGAAGCTGATTTCAGCCTCGCGACTTTTCAGTATTTGATAGTTTCTCGTTACAGATGAAATATATCGGGAAACCAACTGGAGTGATAATAAATGATAATAAATTCAAGTCCATTCGTATCCAAATTACTGATGTTTGTCTTAACTTTTCCTTCGCTTTTTTGTTAGCTAACTTACTAGCTAGCTGGGCAAGACTGTTGACTGTCCTGCTGTGACCAGAAGCCTGCAGGCCTGCAGGGTTAAACGGTAAATTAGCAGATATAGGCTGTATTAACTCCAGTGTTTAAGACAGTAATCATAGTTGAAACTGTGTTGAACGATCAGCAGAGCTTTATTTTACTGTAAAGGAGGATTATTTTATTTTTGCCTATTTTGCAGTTCTATGTTCAGAAGAGTTTGTAGTTTCCTGATTTGAGTTTTGAGCAGCATGTTTAAGTGCCTGTTCTGAACAGTGGTCTTGCCAATAAAAAAAAAGGACCTTCCTACTTGTGGTGCTTATTGACTCCTTTTCACAGTCATTGGGTCTTGCTGCAAAGGTAGGGAAAATAATTGTAGATATTTAATTGTAAATCACTATCACTATTTATACACATGGTCTGTAAACATCTCTTAAAAATGCTATGAATCACTTATGAATGTTGCTTTGCATGTCACTTTACTATATGGACAGTGAATTACTCATAAATATGCTATGAACAGTCAATCATCTTAAAGTCTCAAACTTTGTGTGGTGGTGGGACAGGCCCATAATACTTATCCATTCCATTCAAGATCCATCCATTCATGTAACATGCACTTTAGTGAGGATAAAGTGACTTCCATCACTTTTATGGTGAAGGCAAAGCAAGGCAAATTTATAAAGGACATTTCTTACAAAATTATCAGCACCCTGAGTGAGGAAAGTCAAAGAGCCACCACTCGATTGTACTTTGACGTAATGCCAAAAAAGAAATCATTCCTTGTGATAACAGTGCTTGTCACATTTAACCTCAGTTACACAGGATAACTAATGCACAGTTATACTTGTGCCTTCTCCAAAACCGTAAGTGAGGAAGAACATCACTAAAAATAAAACCTCCAAAGTAATTGGGAAAACAGTGTTAGCATTTACCCCAAGAAAGTTCAACTTAGTTTAAGTAACATTTTCCACAATAATGTATAGTGTTGAATGAAAAGTACATTTTATATATGAATAATTAGTGTAAAAAGCAGAAAGAATAGCATATTGCAAAATACAAATGCTTGAGAAAAAAAAAAAAAGTTGAAAGTCTAGGCAAAAAGTGTCAAAACACTTTCTGTCCAAAGGGATAAAGCCAGGTCATTTTATGCTGACAGTCCAGAAACGAGGAGTTTCACTGAAAATAATAAATAAAATGAGGACTTTTTATTTTAAAAAACATCTTTCGGTAAAATGACATAGTAGTCCATATTAATATCATGTAAAACATGTATAGTTTATGAATGTTGATTTAAGCATTCATGAACATGTTATGAAGGGTTCATGTAAGGTGATATGAATGTTATGTAGACACCCTTCAAAGAAAGTGATACCGGACTAATAAGGGTCACTTAATGTTACTCAAGTTCAATTGTTATGCAGCAGACTGTGTCATTACATGCTCATCTTATGAAATAGTGACATCTTATGAAATAGTGACATTAGACTTCATTATTACTCATTTTTAATGAAGTTGTGGAAATCCTGCTTTTGCTATGTTTTGTTGAAATTAGAAGATTTTGGCATGTGAATGATGCAATCATGTCAACATGGACCACAATCTCAAAGGAAGGTTGTCATGTGTATAGTTAGCAAGGAGGCTGGATATATGTGCGAGCAGACTTTAATAAGTCTTTATTTTTGTTGAGGGGACGTATTAGATAATATGTTGATATGTTTAGCTGTAGCAAGTCAGGAAACATTCCAGCTACCTTTTTTTTAGCTTCTAGTGAAATAACAGTCATGCTAATTGCCTTTGTGGTGTGTTGAGTCAAGCTAGGTTTACGCTACTCAAATTTAGGAAGTCAAACTTGACAGATTGGAGAAAAAATTGAGTAGTATGTGAGGGGCACAGACTCAAACGTTTGATTTTTTTTTTTACCTGAATCTAGATGTAATCCAGTAGTGTATACTGGTCAACGAATCAATCTGAATTAATTCCTCCAACAGCTAATGAAAACTGAAGGTGCAAAAGAAGACAGTACATCAAACAAAGAAAAATGGACATTTATGTGTGTAGCAAAGCTTTCAAATGAACTGCAAAAAACAGTGGCTAAAATACAAGAAATAAAAACCGAATTTGAGTATAACATGATATCATGAAAGTGACATCATGAAATTAAGTTAAATTATTTAATTTATTATTTAATTTAATCATTAAATAAAATCTGTGAAATACATTAAACATTAGCAAATAATTCCTAATTAAATTGCTTGTCACACTGCAAAATGAAGGCCAAGGAACAAGAAAACTATCACTAATTTAGGGGGAAATGGAAAATGATTATGTTGTTTCTTGAAACAGGTTGCCTTATCTTGAAATAAGTAGGCCTAAACCCATATTTAATTTAAATTTAATCTTAGAGCATACATCTTAAAACAGGAAACTGATTTTACTGAAATCACACCCAGGACTGCACGTGAAATTTCAATCAACATTTATTAAAGTCCTCCACTCTGCTTTGCCTCATCCTGCAAACGAGACAAATAAAGCACATTAGCATAATGATAATAGTGGCAGATCCTAAAATTAGTCTAATTTCCACATCACTGCTGTGTTATAATAATAATAATAATAATAATAATGATCATCATCATCATCATCATCATCAACCCTATTTAATAGATGCCTGATCAGAAAAATACTGGACCTCAAATTTAAAAGGATTGTTGTGAGACATAGATAAATTTAATCACTGTATTTCAAAACATCCTTTTTTTCTGAATAGGAGAATCAGTGTTTTGACTTAATCACTGGAGTAATATGCTGTTATGATATTCACTGGCAATGTATTTTTGCATTGGTGTGGGACAAGGAAAATAATGGCAACGATTTACAGACTGTAACAACAATTTAGCCATTTTCTCACTTATACATGACTGTTAAAGTGAATCAAAAATATAAAAAGGCAGAATAACATATGGTGTAACATTATGTTACACCATAACAGGAACAGTGCAGAAACTACTTTTAACATGGGTGTGATAAATAAACATTTGGAAAATCAATTTTAAGTGACTACTACTAACAAAAGCTCATTCTGCGTGTTGATTATCCTAATATATCACGCTTGGGTGGGAAAAAAAGTAAACAGGACTTATGGTGTTGTCTTGCTGCCATCTTGACAGTTCAAATGATATGCTTTCCTTTCAAGTGTTCGTGCATAGCAATGGTATTGCTGTGATAAGCCTTTTGCAAAATCTCTGTAGAATACTCCCACACTTTAGATGATCATGGGTGAGGTTTTTTTATCTGCAGCTTGGTCTCCGTTGAAATTCACATACTTTGATCGGGTGTGGCCATCTTACTTCATAGCAACGTGCTGATGTGTGTCATGCAAATTGATGTATTAACGCAACGATGGCCTAGATTAAGTTGAAGAGTCACCCCGTCTCTATTAGTTTATGTTACTGAATCTGAAAGTTTGTTTTGGTTCAGCAACAGCTTTAAAGCTGTGTAGTGTGTGATCCCAAGTCTTTTAGGGTGTCATCCCCAATATTTTAGTTACCCATAAAATCTGCAGAAACAAGTTGAATAATATGACATACCCAGTCCTTTTTAAATCTGGCAGTACTTGTAATTCACCCAAGGCCTTAGACATCAGTCATGAGAGGCAATGAGAAACAGGAAGGAAAATCTTTATCAGGACCATGTGTTTGTGCGTTTCTGTTGTATTTCACAGTTGTGACAAATGCTAACTTTGTCTCAATTGACGACTATTTAGACCACATTTGTTGCTGCGGTCTTGCCTGTATAGGTGACATCATGGATCATGGATGAGTCATTCATTTGCTGTGTATGTGTGTGTCCGTGAGTGTGTGTGTATGTGTGTGTCTTTGTGAATGTCAGAGTAATTCTCAAATCTAGCATGGTGGATTTTATTCTAGTAATAGAATAATGCATATGAAAAGTAATGAAAAAATGTTCTTTCATAGATTTGAACAAATTTATATCCACTAATTAACCAATTCACCACTGCTCCATTCTGCATAGCTGCGATACAAATCCAAAATGACTGAACTGACTGCAGTCTATATAGACTTATACTTTATTACTGAATTAATAAAATTTAAAATTATATCTGCAATTTCTCTCACACACAAACACACACACACATTCAGACATGACAGATTTCTTCATTGTTTCGACGCAGGCAAACAGCTATGCGTTCCCGCAGCAACAGCCTGGAGAATGTTCTGGAAGTTAAGTCATCTCAAGTGCGAGCTCGTTCCTGGCAACAAACATCAGAGCCCTTGTTCACCAGTCGAGGGACTGATCAGCCACGTCAAAAAGAACCCCTGGACAACCAAGGCAGGATACAGCGCAACCACAAGAGCAGCAGTGGGCACAGCTGGCACAAAGATAGGACAACAGAATCTGGGAAGGGCAGGGACCTCTCCCGTGATGACCTTCTCTTCCTGCTTAGCATGCTGGAGGGAGAGCTGCAGGTGGGTAAGAACCAAATCTTTGAAGGGAACAGAATCAGAGCATTAGTTCATTTAAGAATTTCAAAAAAAAAAAAAAAACTTTAGAATGAAGAATAGAACAGGAGCTTTGTTGAATTTATTGAACTCTTAGCAATCAAAGGGGGCAGAATGTTAAAATATCAAGGTACAAAATACAGAGGGTCCAGGACCTAGCCCATCTAATTAACCCATTGGACCCCCTGAATGCCACAAAATAAAACATTTTGGGGGACCATGAGCATGAAAAACAGATGCTCAAATACATGCTCAAAATAATTCAAATTAAGCTCATTGTTACTGTATTTTTGCTGCTTTACCTACAACTGGAGCTTCTATCTTCAAGTTTATCATGCGATGACGCTGTAATGAAATGACCTTTTGCTAAAACCCGCTCTGAAATACTGACTATCCAGTCGTAGCTCAGCAACTGTAAGTTTTCCTCTCACAGTCCAAAGACATGCAGTCAGGCCAATTGGACATGCTAAATTGCCCCTAGGTGTGAGTGTGTGTGTGTGTGCATTTATATGTCTGTCCAGGGTGTTTGCTGCCTTCCGTCCAATGACTGCTGGGATAGGCTCCAGCTCCCCCCGCGACCCAGAACGATAAGCGCCTTAGAAAATGTGTGTGTGTGTGTGTGTGTGTGTGTGTGTGTGTGTGTGTGTGCTTACAGAACATTTTTTGTCATTTTAGGCCAGAGATGAGGTGATCACAGTGTTAAAAGCAGATAAGATTGATCTGGCTCTACTGGAGGCCCAGTATGGTTTCGTCACCCCTCAAAAAGTGCTTCAGGCTCTGCAGAGAGACACCATACAAGGCAAGGGCTGCAGCTGGCAGGAAGACATCTATGAGAAGCCCATGGCAGAGGTCAGAATATCTAACAAAATGCATAGAACCATTAAAGATGTAAAATAACAGCATAAACAAAAATGTTGCTAGTGTACTGTTCAGTACTAATATATGATTTCCTTTAAATTATGCTAATTAATAACTCTTAGCTTCCATTGAATATGCAGTTTAAAGTTTTTAGTCAGACTATTTATTTAAACATCAATTACATATAATGTGTCACCTTTTAGGATTTCCTCTGGATTGTATTTTTTAAATAAATGTCATCCAGAGGAACATCTTTTGTTAACTGAACATTCCATAGCAAAATCTGCATAGCAAAAACAGCATAACAGTTTTAACACACAAGGTAGTTCACAACCAAAATCTTCTCACTGTTGTGTGTTATGCATATGTTTGTTAGTTGGACAAATTGGCGGAGAAGCAGAGAGAGACATACAGACGTATGCTGGAGCAGCTGCTTCTGGTAGAGCAGGCACACAAACAGGCACTCTGCAGGCTGGAAGATGAGAAGCACAATCACAGCGAGTTCATGAAGAAGAGTGATGAGTTCACCAATCTGCTGGAACAGGAGAGGGAGAGGTCAGTGGGAGCAGAAAGGAAAACAAAACAAAAAAAGCAGTCAACAGATAGAGGTGGAACTGCATAGAAATAACACTGCACCATTGCATCCAAGTACACTGTAAGTTCAAAATCATTCTTATCCAACGCTTCTTCTTTTATTATCCTTTGCTTATTTGGTGCCTCTACACTTTTGGAAAGGATTTACCGTAGATATTGGAACATTGCTGTGAGGGTTTGTCTGCATTCAACCTCAAGAGCTTTTATGACATCAGGAACTTTTGTTGGATGATTATTTCTAAATCACAAGCAGTACTTTTAACTAATCTCAAAGGACTTTGATATTGCTCCATCACTCCAAAGAACATTCCACTACTCCACAGCCCAATGGTCATGAGCATTATAACCCTCTAGCTAACACTTGGCAATCAAACACCTGTATCAGGTGCACTTAAAGTAGTTGGATTCACAATTAAGATGGAATTTTGAATACTTTTGGATATGTAGTGTAGTTGTCAAAGGTGGGAACAAGTCACTAAGTTGCAAGTAACAAATAAGTTTCAAGTTTTGACACTCAAGTCCCAAGTCACATCCCAAATCAAGACAGTCAAGTCTCAATTCAAGTTCCGAGTCCATTTCATATCATCATATCATTTTTTAAAACTGATTACCCTTCCAAGTAAATTACAAAATCCATGGCAGACATAATGGTATACAATGGAATACATGGTGTAGTGCAACTACACATGAAAAGAATTGAATAAGAAAACTTTGTAGTTGAAAATAATATTTTTGGTGATATATGGAGCATTGGAAGCATGGGATCAAAATAAAAAAAAAAACTAGCTGAGCACTAAAACTAGCTCAGCAAACTAAAAAACAACCATTATTTTTAATTGAATTTAGACGACAAACAACATACACCAAAAAGACCGGGCTTTACAAAATTCACAGAAAAGACAGCAACATGATGGTCAATATATGAAGCTGAAGTTGTTCTTGTTCATATTTTCCATTCCACTTTAAATGTTGCAGCAGTTAGGTACCAGGACTGCTGTAACTGCTGCAACATTTAAGGTAAAATGGAAAATTCAAATATTAAGCTGGCAAATAAAAGGTATACTTCAGCCTCTTTTTGAATGTTGTGCTTGTTTTAACAGCTTTGTTCAAATAGAGAGAGCTCTGTTTCTTTTGTTTAATTACCATGATGAAAGTATTCCCCTGGTAAGTTTCTCCAGTGCTAAGCAAGGGCCTACTGATGTTTTGCATGTTTCTAGTTTATGGAAACATACTTAAATTGTCACACTTCACTTGTCTTTCAAACTCTTTTTGTAGCCAGCAAGGAGTCTTTCTGTTCTTTTTTAGGAATGTTTGTTTAAGATCTACCCACAGATTTTCAATGCTGTTCAAGGGCCATTACAAAAGCTTCAGTTTGCATTTCTTGATTTAGTTCATGGTGGATTTTTTGAGGTATGAGGTATGTTTTTGTGAAATCCCTTTTTCCATCTACCTGTGCAGTGTTTCCTGTGCCACTGGCTGCCACACAACACCAAAGCATGATACATTCACCCCCTTATTCTTAACAGTTGGCAAAGTGTTTTTTTTTAACAAATACTGCTACTTTTTTGTCCAAAGATACCTTGGGTGATCGAGGCCAAAGAGGTCTATTTTTACTTCATCAGCCTACGGCATTTATTTTCAAAATGCCTCTGGCTTACCTTGATGTTGTTTCTCATACATCACAAGTGGATGTTTGTGATGAGGTTGCAAGTAAGTTTTCCTTCTAAAGACTCTTGCATGCAGATCTTGTTTGTGCAAGCAGTGCTCCACAGTAGAACAGTACAGAACCACTCCTCTGTCAGCTAGACTTTCATGCAGGTCCTTTGCTGCCATATGGGGGTTTTGCTTTGCCTTTTCTATCCAGCATACGAACACAGTTCTATCTGAGTTTAGTCGTCTTCCAGATCTTGCCTTGACTGTCATAGTTCCCCTTAACTACCACTGTATTATGACATTTCAAACAGCAGAAAGTGCAAGTTGAAAATGCTTTGATATCTTTTTATAGCATTCCCCTGCCTTATAGGCATCCATAAGCTTCATTTTCAGATCCTCAGCCAGCTGCTGAACTGTAAGTTTAAAGAGTCAGAGACTTTATTATGCTCTAGAACTGTTACCTGATAACAATTCCTAATGATAACTCTTGACCTGCCTTACCAGTCCTCATGAGTCAATTAGGCCTAACCTATTATTTTAGTTCTTAGAATTTACAACTGCAAGAGTGTCTAAAATTTTGTGCATGACACAATTACTATTTTTTTTACATTTTTGTTGAGGACAATAGAGAGCAACAGTGCACTGTGTTGCTGGATTTAACAGTATCTGTGATGTCTGCATGCTAAGTTAATCTTAACAATTAAAGGTGTCTGAATTTCACAAATGTTTAAGAAGAGGTAGACTGGCTAGTCTGGATTATGTAGAGCGTGATAATCTTAAATCTTAAAGGTAATTAATCTGTCTGTCTATCTATCTAGCTATGTATCTATCTATCTATTTAAATTATATTTAAACATAATTTTATAAATATAATTAAATAAATATTTAAATGAAGACCTTCGTGCAGTGAAGCACCTCACAGCAAGAAAGCATAACCTTCAAATTTAGGGAGTTTTTCCTTGCCACTGTCGCCATTGGCTTGCTCAAGGGGCTCTGCCCTGGATTTTTCTGTACTGCTGCTTTGTGACAATACCTGTTGTAAAAAGCGCTATATAAATGATCTTTGACTTGACTTGACTTCAAACGAAATAGGGACAACGCAGATCAAAAAGTTTTAGTTTATTGAAATGAGTACTCATTAAGTGTTATCTGTTCCTCCTCCACTCACCTTTCTTCTGCTATCCTTTCCTCCTTGTCCTCTTTCTGTGTTTGTCCTCTGCCCTCATTTCTATGGTCCTCATTTCTATCATCTGATAATGAAAAGGGGTAAAGTAGTTAATTTTGATATACATACCAAATAAACCCTTCTCATGCACACACAGCTGAATTTGCAGTATCAGTCAGTATCCCATATTTAAACATGGCAATATACTGTTATAAGCAGGGGCGTCAAACTTCAGGTAATGATGAACCTGACTTACCAGGGCCCTATCTATATATGGGGCCCTCCAAAAGCCTCGCAAATAAATTGATATTAGTTTCTAATTTTGCCAATTTTGATAGTCTCTGTAATTATAGAAATAAATGATAACTGCCATATTAAGTTCTGCTTATCTGCCTGCTGCTTCCTTTATTTGTTTATCTGGCTGTGTCCTCCCCCCACACTCTTTGTCTTCCTTGTCTCAAAAACAAAAGTGATTTTACCCTCTTGTGTGCAAATCTATGGTGTTAATAATACAGCTAAAGAAACGCCACACATGACAACACATTCTTTGTTTTAGCAGAGCTGTTTTATTTTTGGCCTCTCTGCTGTGACCCTAAGTTTAGATTAGTTGAATATATCTAAATTTTGTTTAATCCTATCTTACAAAACGTGTAATCTGCAATTGATTCAAATTCCCTTTAATAGCCAGTTACATTACAGTGCTTTCTATGTGAACATAAGCACACATTCAGGGTGCAATTCAGCTTATTACTGGTTTGTTTCAGCATAATAATAAAAGGCAAATGAATTACAAAGTATATTGCTATTCAATCAGTCAATCAATTTCATTCAGACATACATTGAGGGTGACCCTCATTTTCAATGTAGCTAAGCATTTACAACATTAAAGGATTAAAAAAGAAATTGAAATGGAATTTAATCAGGTTAAACAAAATGAACAAAAACTACATAAACAAATTAACAGAAAGTCTAGACAGGAAAAATGGCAAAAGAATTAGGAGAACAATTAAGAGTAAGAAGGTATACAATAAAATCAAGATAATAAACCAATTGATAAGATTTGAAAATAAAAGGATAAATAAGCAAAGTAAACTTTAAAATAGTCAAGAAAAATGCTGATAAAAGTAACTAATAAATAAAAACTGTAACAGAGTTTAAAAAGGAGAAATGAAAAGTTAAACACTAAACGAAAGCAGGTACAGTCTGTTTGAAGGTTGTTAGAAATAAAAAAATTTAAATGATTGAGTAACACCAATGAGCTGAGTTTTAGAGACGCTTATAGTAAATTCCAGCTCACTGGTGCACTGTAGCTAAAAGCAAATTTTCCCAGTTCAGTAAAACTCTAGGTACCTGACAGGTGATCCAATCACTGGAGCAGGTCTGATAATTACTGTTATTCAGAGATCATATATGAGTTATAAGCTGGCATATGCCTGGAGAGTGATTTATAAATAAAAATAAGCCAGTGTGTTTCCCATCGTGCTGCAATTGAGGACCAACTGACTTTATCATAGAGTATGCAGTGGTGAGTGTTGTAAGGGTTGCCAGTAAAGAATTGCAAGGTGGAATGATTGAGTGCAGTGGTCTAAGCGTACTGGCGGATGCATGTCTATCACCATAGTCCAGTACTGATAGTAAGGTTGCCTCCACGACTCTTTCTCTGGCATACATAGGCAGACAAGATTTATCTTGATGCAGGAATTCAAACCCATTCATGTGCTTATTTGCTCAAAATGGTAGTCTTTGACAACATAATAATCTATGAATTTTCGGCTGTGTTAGATCATCTGTTCATATGAAACTAAATGTGACAACATTATTGAGAAATCACATTTTCAAAGTAGAATAGCAGAATAAAAGACACAAATATCCATGTTACCTCTGCATTAAAGTTTCCTTTTTCAGCAGGTGTTGTATTACTTTTGGCTGTTCTGCTGTGAAGTCAGAACTTGTTGGTAATGTTAAATCTGCACTGCTAACAAGTACAGGCCCGGTTAATGTTCTTTTCTTTTAGCATTCATGTTGAGCTCAGCGTTACTTTATCTGCAAAATGATTTTGGTGATTGTAAGCATCTGATTTTGCCTACAAGCCACACACTGACAACTTATTCACAAAATTGCTATTAGTATATTGTGTGTGACA